AAATCTTTGTTGGAAGCTGCCCAGAGTGGCTGAGGAAACCCAGCCGGATGGGCGGGTACAAATAATAAATTATTATTATTATTATTATTATGCTGTTACTCCTTACCAAAATGAATGGCAAGCCTGAAACTAAAGCCAACAGCCTGTCACCCTGCCTCTCCTTATAACTCTGTGTAATCTTTGTGCTCTTTCTTAGCAAATCAAAATGAAAATGGAAGGAGAGCAGGCCGGGTATTGTCAGGTAGTGAAGGAAGGGAAGAACCTGATGGGACTCGTGAACTGTCCTGAATTGCAGGTCCAGATTGAGAAGCTGGAGGACCAGTGGGCCTCTCTTTCCAAAAGAGTTGCCCATGAGCTACAGAGACTTGAAACGTTGCTCAAACTCTTGTCTAGGTAGGTGCGGTACTTTCCTACGTTCCTCAGCCTAGTATTTTACGGTCACAGTAAGCCCTAAAAACTTGGGGAGTGGGCATTTTACATCATTCTCACCCACAGGCTTCACCTGCCATAAGGAAGACTGCCCAGCTGAAGGAATAACCCATTCCATAGGGACAAAAACATCTGGTCCTACTTTGTCCTTGTTGCTGTTTGAGAGAGGGGCATTTCCATCACGGCTGCTGCAGAGCAGTCGTTGCAGCAGCAAGCAATAGCTCAATGTGACTGCGTAGAGGATGTTTATATTAACATTTCCCCTAACGCTTTTATTCCATCTTCACCACCTGTGACGTGGAGACTGCTATGGTCTTTCGTTCATTCTAATTGTAACTTTGGTTTGTTTGTTTTCTTTTCTTTTTTATGTGATTTTTGTTAAATTTTCTGTTTTACCATTTCAGATAAATACTTTACCTACTTAAGATATCAATGACTTCCCTTCTTCTCCTTCCATGGTTCATTTTGCATATCTTATATCCCTGCATATTTTACAAAAACGATACCATTCAGTTTTCCATTATTACATCCATCAAAACTTATTTACACTGTTGAATTTATCTTAATGCTGCCAGCGTTTTCAGCTGTACACAATTATTTTCCATATATTCAATAAACGTTTTCCAGTCTTCTTTAAACGTATGTTCTTCTTCTTCCCTTAACGTATAGGTTAAGTCTACAAGTTGTGCATATTCTGTCAACTTAAGTTGCCAATCTTCTTTGGTTGGGACCTCACTCATTTTCCATTTTTGACCTAACGAAACACGGACCACAGTTGTTGCATGCATAAATAACCTTTTCTGACACCTGGGAATTTCAGTCTGAATTATCCCAGCTTTGCTTTGTTTTCGCAGCTACAACAGGGATTCAAAGGAGCTGGAAATCTGGCTGGGGTCTGCTCAGCAGCGCATTCGTGACTGGAAGGAGCAGTCACTCAATGCCTCCCAGGACTTGAACACTGTCAGAAACAGTATACGCGACTGTATTGTAAGTGAAACAGTGTCTTTGTGGCTTACAGCTGAATTGATATGCGTAGATTTGTTTGCACTGTTAAAAACACAGACGTTGCCATGCTGAATCAAGCCAAAGTTCCATATAATTCTATGCTCATTATCTTCAAGTAGCGGCTAACCTACCCCTGAAGGATATGTACTGTATTTTTCCGTCTATAAGTCGCCCCCATGTATAAGACACCCCCTAATTTTGGACATTATTTTTTAGGGGAATAACCTAGTCTTATACACAGAAAAATATGGTACTTTGCTTATTGTTTGTTTCCGACACTTAATTGGCATTTCATCTAGGAATTAATCTAATGCTTGTTTTTTGAAGCCATCTTCAAAAAATCAACATTTTCTTTTCCCTGCCATTCAGTGGCCACATTCAGACAATCATGTATCAGCCTAATAAGCCAAAATATGAATGAGACTAAGACCCCTACGTGCATCTGCTTCTCTCCTCTCTTCATGCGAGCAAGCAAATATGCCAGAAAGTCATTTCCCATTGCGTCTTACGTGATTTCAGAACAAGCCAAGATATGAAACCTCCTAGATGACTTCATATCCTGGCTTGTCCCAAGGCTGCTAACTGTAGTTTCCCAGTTCACACGCAACAGGGAACTGTGATTAGTTGAAGACATCTTGTCTTGCTTGCTTGGTGTTAAGGGAGGAGCAAACCACAGCGCGAGCTCATTGGATGATTCTGAGTTCTGTGTATCAGTCAAGTTTGTTTTCTACTGTCCCTCCAGGGTCAGGGTAGGTTACATTGGGTGATGTGTGGAGCAACAGTTCCCTGGCACCTCCGTTCATGCAGGAAGTCAATAAAGCAGGGATGCAGCTGAAAAGGACAGGGCAGCCAGGAGCAAGTCCATTCCCACATTCCAATGGCCATCTGATCAACAGCCCAGGGGGAGGAAGTAAGGGCTGATGCTCTTGGCTCAAAGAGCTGAAAAGAAATACCAAGGAACTGGCAGACTCTACACAATGACACATCTGGCTTGTCCCAAGGCTGCTAACCATAGTTTCCCAGTTCACATGCAACAAGGAACTGTGATTAGTTGAAGATGTCTTGTCTTTCTTGCTTGGTGTTAAGGGAGGAGCAAACCACAGCTCAAGCTCATTGGATGATTCTGAGTTCTGTGTATCAGTCAAGTTCCATTCAGACTCTACACAATGACACATCTGGTTTCCCCATTTTATCTGTACATCTGCCCTACATGGTAGGCCAAACAGAGAGATGGTGCCAGGCTAAAGGTCACCTAGCAAGAGAAATGGCCGAGCAGGGATTGGTCTGTGTAATTTGGTTCTGTCACTGTGAACTACGTCGTGGTCAATTCTCCGTTTATGGTAGTGTTTTGCGTGAAAAAGAGAGAATAACTTTTCTCAGTTAAAACCGGCTCCATGATGCAATGCAGCCAACGTAGCTATTCTTCCCCTTCCCACAGTAAATTTATTTTCTTTCATTGAAAGTCATGCCCATGTGAAATTGTACTCCTAGGCATTTTCTACAGAGGTTGATGATAAATCTTCCTTGAAGTCATCAGTCGTAAGCACTGGCAATCAGCTCTTGCTTCTTAAGCAATCCGATGCAGCAGTGCTACGGTCAGCTTTGACGACGTATGACCAGAGATGGGCTGACCTGATCGCTCAGTTGCCAAGCATCCAGGAGAAGCTTCTCCAGGTAAAAAAGCAAATCAGAAGCCCAAAACCTCCAGGCCTGAACTACCTCGATAGGCTGCTGTGGGTATTCATTGCAAAGTGCTGAATTATGTGGCCCAATCATTCTTGCATTCAGTGCCTTCTTACCAAAGCAAAATCCAGGTGTTAAACGCTCCTGTTATTGCAGCCTCCTTAACCTTCTGTATGTGTCACTGATTGCAAGCATTTATATATAACTCAAGGATGCAGTCCATCAAAAAAAGTGGGAGGCATTGTGTGCTAAAGTCCTACTGAAATAACGTACTGCAAAGAGCCCAATATCTCTCCTTCACCGTTGACTTGCAGTAATAATCTTGTCCTAAAAGTTAAAAGGGACGCGGGTGGCGCTGTGGGTTAAACCACAGAGCCTAGGACTTGCTGATCAGAAGGTTGGCGGTTTGAATCCCCACGACGGGGTGAGCTCCCGTTGCTCGGTCCCTGCTCCTGCCAACCTAGCAGTTGGAAAGCACATCAAAGTGCAAGTAGAGAAATAGGTACCGCTCCGGCGGGAGGGTAAACGGCATTTCCGTGTGTTGCTCTGGTTCGCCAGAAGTGGCTTAGTCATGCTGTCCACATGACCCGGAAGCTGTACGCTGGCTCCCTCGGCCAATAAAGCGAGATGAGCGCCGCAACCCCAGAGTCGGCCATGACTGGACCTAATGGTCAGGGGTCCCTTTACCTTTACCTTTAAAAGTTAAAAATGTACGTGCTTTTCCTATACTTGGTCCCTGCTTGCCAACTCATGTGTTTTTAAAAAAGTTTGTTCCTGCTTCAAAATGTGTGAGCCTTAGGGATTGTTCATTGAGAATGTTGCTAGGCAATCTGAAAAGCCATGCCTGCATCCTGATCCCTGCACATAGAAAACTAGTATATTTGGGAGAAGGCTAGGCTACAGTCCTTCTCCCTGAAATGCTGGGTTTCTATGTGCCTGGAATTTATTTTTTGCTTGTTTGCACGGGGGAGCATTTTGTCTTGTGGGGGCCTCTATTGCAGCTTGAAACATACAGTCAGGAAACGGCTAATTTAAGGACTCAGTCCCTCCCTCCCTCTGTTCATGCATGTGTTGCCCCTATCCACGCCCAGTTCCCATTAGCAGTAGACCTTGTATCTCAAACCAATCCATTTAGTTTTGTCTGGGTTTGGGTTAAGGGTATTCTACAGTTTAAGAATCCATAGCCCCTCCTTGTAAACAGAAGGAGTGAGAGAGACCCAGAGTGACTGGGTCAGGTGGATGGGGTATAAGTATTACTGTTGTTGTTATTGCATCATTTCTGACCAGCTTCAGATGGCAAAGCTACCGTCTCATGAGGCAATCGCAGAATTAATGGACCGGATGAACCAGATGGAGCAAGAAAGAAGAGCTGAAGCTACTGTGAATGCTCAGAGTCCCACACGCCAAGTGAAAGGCCTTCTTAAGAAGTACAAGGTGAGTAGGGCACTAGAAGAATGAGAGTCCTAGAAGCTGATTCACTTTGCCAGGCAAGAATACAAGAACCCAAATCTGCATCTGCCTGGTGTGGCCTCTTCCAGTCACCCTATACCGTATTTTTCGCTCCATAAGATGCACCCGACCATAAGACACACCTAGTTTTCAGAGGAGGAAAACAAGAAAAAAATATTCTGAATCCAATGTTGTTGAAGAGGAAGGAGGAGGGAGGATCAGGCTAAGGAGCCACCAGTCCATCCGCCCCTTTGGGGAAGCTGGATCTGCTGGCCACCTAACAGCGTTGTTCCTGCTGGGGGGATCGGAGGAGGCAGGCGAGACGAAGTGACACTCTTCAGCGAAGCGGGAGGAGGAAAGGAAGGGGCTCTGTAAGGGCTCCCTTCCTTTCCTCCTCCCACTTCGCTGAGCAGGCACTGCGCTGCTCTGCTGAACCCAGCAGAGCAGGAGGGAGAGCTGTGCAGTGCCTCTTGGTCTGCTGGCTTCCCAGCGAAGCAGGATGAGGGGCGGAAGGGGCTCCGTAAGGGCTCCCTTCTGTCCCTCATCGTGCATCACTGTGAAGGCATCACAACAAGAGGCGCTGTGCAGCTCTCCCTCTTGCTCTGCTGGCTTCAGCGAAAGCTGTGCAGCCTGCATTCGCTCCATAAGACGCACACACATCTCCCCTTACTTTTTAGGAGGGAAAAGGTGTGTCTTATGGAGCGAAAAATACGATAATTGGGTTCTGACTGTCTGAGCCCTGTCATGACCACAAGGAGAGCTTTGCTGAACCCCTGGGGTGAAGAATGCCTTGCATTTTATGAATAAAGGCCACTGCACAAGGATGCCATGCTTTCTTCCAATTGTGGCATCTTCCTGCTTTCGCCTTTTTTCAAATCGCCACCTCCGCCTGGAGATGCCAGGGATCGAACCTGGGACCTTCTGCATTCAGAGCGCATGCTCTGCCACTAAGCTGCAGCCCTTCCATCTGGTACTGTGCCACTTTTTGCCCAGAAATGCTTTTGCAATGGGTCTCCCACCGCCCGCCCCACTTACTTCACAATGCCATCCGAGGCTCTTCAACTGTCCGCCACCTGTGACTGCACTTGGTAGCAGTAACATTCCCTCATAGCAGAGCAGCCCTAAATGCACATTAAGTCCACAGTAAGATAGATTCTCATGCATATGGAAGCCAAGAAGAAAATGCCATCTTTGCCCAGATGGATTAGCGAGCTAGCAAGTGCATTAACCTACAAGCCCACACTTTTTAAGCGTTAGCAAAGGACAAACATTCACAGAGATTATGGGTCATGGTTCTTCTGTGCGTCAACACCATTTCAAATGCCATAAAAGTAAGCGGTAATGGCGTTTTCTGCGTGGGAAATGCCCTTTTCTTTTCTTTTCCTGACAGGGTTGTATTTACTTTTCTAGGAGTACGAGATGGAAATGAACTTCAAACAGGGGGTAGTAGATTATGTTAACCAGTCGCTGCTGCAGATGACAACGTGCGACGTCAAGAACAAGCGTTACGAGAGGACGCTGTTTGCAGAGCGCCTTGGTGAAATGAATCTGCGGTGGCACCGGTTGAGAGGCTCTCTGAGCGGAAAGGTTTGTCCGTCCTTTGCAGTTCTTTTGCACAGAGAACGAGTCCTGTGGGTCCAGAGCGGCGCAAGGAGAAGTTGAACACAACTTCCTCTTCAGTGCAGGCCCCTGAAACACTGCAAAGCAGGGCCAGCCCTTTCATTAGGCAGTCAAATAGCTGCCTCAGCAGATTTTGGGGTGTCCTGAAAGGGCAGGAAATACCGTATTTTTCGCTCTATAAGACGCACCAGACCACAAGACACACCTAGTTTTCGGAGGAGGAAAACAAGAAAAAAAATATTCTGAATCTCAGAAGCCAGAACAGCAAGAGGGATCGCTGCACAGCGAAAGCAGCAATCCCTCTCGCTGTTCTGGCTTCTGGGATAGCTGCGCAGCCTGCATTCGCTCCGTAAGAAGCACACACATTTCCCCTTACTTCTTAGGAGGGAAAAAGTGAGTCTTATAGAGCAAAAAATATGGTAGTTTGTTATTTAATGTGCTCCTATTTGTATTTTACTGGCAGGCTGGGGGGAAAGGTGCTTGTGGGGTTTTCTGCCTCAGGTACCAAATAACTTAGTTGGACATGGCTGCACCTCAATTTGAAAAGCCTTTATCTGCATAACTATTAAAGGTTTGGGACCTCTGCCTGCAATTTCACCAGGCCAATCTATGCAACAAGCGATATCTGAGCATTTGGAAGGTTCCAAAATGTCCAGCTTCCTGCATTCAATTTAGTGCATCCGTTGTGAGGAACGATCCCCACGTGTGTTGTGGGAATGTGGGATGCAAAACCTGTAGATAATCTTTGGCAGTTTCCCAAAGAGGGTGTTTTAAAAGTCTTCTGTCCAACAGTGTCTCTCCAGTGACACTTAGATCCAGCGCAGGCTTCTTCCAGCAGCCTTTCTCAACCTGTGGGTCCCCAGATGTTGTTGGACTACAACTCCCATCATCCCTGAGCTCTGGCCTTGCTAGCTAGGGATGATGGGAGTTGTAGTCCAACAACATCTGGGGACCCACAGGTTGAGAATCGCTGGTAGAGGAAGGTGATTTTCCACCTGTCAGGTCCCCTGCTTCTTCCCAAGGTGTTCCAGCTACTGGATTGGGAGGGGGGGAGCCGGAATGGTTGAGATGAGGGAGTTGCCGCCCTCTCCACACCATGGCAGAAGCCTCCACTGAACCAAAGTGCAGGGTGGATTTGATTTACAGTGGTGCCTCGCAAGACGAAATTAATCCGTTCCGCGAGAGTCTTCGTCTAGCGGTTTTTTCGTCTTGCGAAGCAACCCTATTAGCGGCTTAACGGATTAGCGCTATTAGCGGTTTAGCGGCTATTAAAGGCTTAAAGGCTTAGCGGATTAGCTGCTAAAAGGCTATTAAAGGCTATTAAAGGCTTAGCAGATTAGATAAAGGGGGGGGAAGCGAAAAAAAAATCTCTAGACTCGCAAGACATTTTCGTCTTGCGAAGCAAGCCCATAGGGAAATTCGTCCTGCGAAGCAACTCAAAAACGGAAAACCCTTTCGTCTAGCGGGTTTTCCGTCTTGCGAGGCATTCGTCTTGCGGGGCACCACTGTAAATCAAATTGATTTAAATCACTGGTCGGTAAGACTTGATTTAAATCCTTTTTTTTTTTTTTTTACAGAAAGACTCATTCAAGGTGGTATAATCTTCATATTTACAACCAGATGAAGGTTTCATTTTTGGAATAATAAATTTTCAGAGTAGTTTTTACAGTTGTATCAAAAATTACTGATTTGGTTATACTCTTAGAAATAGATAATGATGAAATTATTGTGAGGATTAATAAGTGAAGGGTCTGTATTTGGACAACTTTTCTGCTGTACTTTATTGGAAGGAGAAAAATAATCATTTCCTTAATAACAAACTTAAACAATTTATTTAACTAAAAGAATAACATTATAGCATATGCATCCATGTTTGTTAACTGATGTGGTTAAACAAACACAAAATCCGTAGACTGAGTTTTAGCACACATGAAAAACTTAAAACAAATTCTTTTTTCCTGTTGAATAGCCTTTGGACTATAATGTTACTTAAATAGAAATATGTTTAGAAAGATTTTTCCTCCAAAAGCATTTATTTTAAAAAAATCCAATTTAAATTTTAAAATCTGATTTTTTTATTTATTTATTTTTAATCATTGGTTTTTATCCACCCTGCCAAAGTGCCTTTCATCAGCAGAGAGGAGACGCTTAGGCAAAACCCCAGATGCCTTTCTGTCCTCTATGAATCAAATCATCCTTAAATTTCCATGCTGGAATCTTTGCAGATAAAGGAGCTGGAGCACACTTTGGAATCCGCAGGTGAAAAGGAGAGCAGAGCCCAGGCCCTGGGCAGCTGGCTAGAAGCCCAAAGCAGAAGACTCAAGCAAGCAGGGAAGCCAGCAAGTTCCATTCTTGCCCAGGACACGGTGCAAGACTGCAAGGTTAAACCTTTCTTCTTGTTATTGCATTTGGGAATTTCAGATTCACATGACCCTAAAAAAATCAAAAAAATCCCACTTTCCTTCCAAATTGCTCAGGGCAGTGTATATGGTTCTTCCTCTCCCCTGCCCATGCTATTTTCACAACAGCCCTGTGAGGTAGGTTTGGCAGAGATCATAGTGACTAGCCCAAGGACAATGAGTTTCATGACTGGGTGGGGATGCAAGCTCAGATTTCTGTGTTCCTATTCCGATCCACAGTGGGTGGACTTGGTTCAGAAAGATGGCTTATAAATCAATATTCTTTTTGTTGTTGAATGAGGGGGTCAGACTGTGCCTTGGCCAAAGGCCTGGTGGAACAGCTCTGTCTTGCAGGCCCTGCGGAAAGATGTCAAGTCCCGCAGGGCCCTAGTCTCTTGTGACAGAGCTTTCCACCAGATCGGGGCCACGGCTGAAAAAGTCCTGGCTCTGGTTGAGGCCAGCCTAACCTCCCTGTGGCCCGGGACCTCCAAGATGCTTTCGTTTGAAGACCGTAAGGTCCTCTGTGGGACATACCAGGAGAGGCACTCCTGTAGGTACGAGGGTCTTAGGCCATATAGGGCTTTAAAGGTCAAAACCAGCACCTTAAACCTGATCCTGTACTCCACCGGGAGCCAGTGCAGCTGGTATAGCACCGGGTGAATGTGATCCCGCAGCGAGGACCCCGTAAGGAGTCTCGCCACTGCATTCTGCACCCGCTGGAGTTTCTGGGTCCGTCTCAAGGGCAGCCCCACGTAGAGTGAGTTACAATAATCAAGTCTGGAGGTGACCGTCGCGTGGATCACAGTGGCTAGGTCAGGGTGAGAGAGGTAAGGCTAACCGTGATGGCTACACAGCCGCAGGAAGCAATGCTTCTGAATACCAGTTTCTGGGAGCCAACAAGCCGATCTTGTCCTCTGGTCCTCCATGTGGGTTTCCACACGCATCTGGTTGACCACTGAGAACACAATGCTGGACTAGAAGGGTCCAGCTCATTTGTTCTTATGCCTCCTTAACTGAGGTCTAGAGGACTTGTCTGCAAGGGCTAAAATGCTCCAAGAGCACATTTTGGCCTGGTCAACCAAATGAGCCCTTATTATTTCCTAGACAATAAGGGTAAGCCACGCTTGCAATGATATTCCTTCCCTCCTAGGTAAGTCTTTTGTTTTTGTTTTATTGCCATGGTTACCCCTTTTCTCTCTCGTTGCAAAATAGTGGGTAGTTTTTTGCTATTTATTCCCTGCAGTTTTTTGGTTTTTTTACTAAAGCGCTCTGGAGCCTTTTCGCGCGGCCCCCCCCCCAAGCTGAGGAACAAGAGGGATTCATTCCAACTCGCCAGCAAGAAGCGTGGTGAATAAATAAAAGGACAGATTGGAACTCTCTTAGTGAGCAGGTACACTCACTACGGGAGAGAGGAAGGGGAAGGGAAAAGTTAAATAAAGCCAGGAAGAATGTTTCCACATCCTTGAAGACAACTCTTTATAATAATAATTAAAAAAAAAACCAAGGGAAATTGGGGGAACTGTCTTTTAATTCTCAAGCACTTGTATAAGCTTTGCAGGAAGATAAATGAACAATCTAATAGCCACTACATTTTACACTAACCCTATTGCCTTGTATCATATATTCGAAATGAGCTACGTGTGTTTATTTGCATGATTTATGCTGATGACAGGGACGCGGGTGGCGCAGTGGGTTAAACCACAGAGCCTAGGGCTTGCCGATAAGAAGGTCGACGGTTCGAATCCCCGCGATGGGATGAGCTCCCGTTGCTTGGTCCCAGCTCCTGCCCACCTAGCAGTTCGAAAGCACGTCAAAGTGCAAGTAGATAAATAGGTACCGCTCTGGTGGGAAGGTAAACGGCGTTTCCGTGCGCTGCTCTGGCTCGCCAGAAGCAGCTTAGTCATGTTGGTCACATGACCCAGAAGCTGTACGCCGGC